ATAAAGGCACCTAAAAAAAAATGTTGAGATTTGGGGGGGGGAGGTGGGGAAGAAGATGTAGAAAAAATTGGGCGTAGCTCCGGAAAAATCCTGACTACGCACCGGCTAAAGCCTGAAACTGAACAACAGGAGTCTTGACGAAACGTCCTCAGTTATCACCTGTCCGGGGTCGTACTTTCAAGGAAACGCTGACCAAGAATCACTCATGACGGAATGAAAACTCCTTGTAACTTCCAGCGAAAAAAGGAGTGACAACAGTGGTAAGCGGTCGTTCTGTGAAATGTAACGCAATCTTTGCCGTTTACGATCTTTCGGCGCGTGGATTTGAAACGTTGTTGTTTGGTATGTTCTCCCGTGTGGATACTTGACATTTCCAATATATGGAAACACCATGCTAAGGTACGAACAACAGACATTCACAACATTGTTTTGTACGCTAAAATCTGATTTCATGGACGTAAAACGTTTTGAATTTTAAGACTTTTTCTATTAGTGCTTTGCCCTCCCTTTGACAACTTCACGTGACTGGTGCACTTGGCAGGAGTTGACAGCTTAAATCTGCTTTTCTTGATAGCAAACGGCGTTAATTTATGTCAGATCGCTGTATAAACACGTTTTGGTTTCTGAAAGCTGATAACATGAAACCACTATTGCTCAAACTGATTTCTTACTGTATTTTTCCAAGTTTTTAGCATCGGCCCGCTGAGTCTGGAAAGCTCAAATTTCAGAAAAGTACTACTTGTATTTTTTGGCCTCAAAAATTTTCTTTTAAGTTGCCCGTAGTTTTGAAAACAGATTTTGAAAGAAGAGATAACCCTCTTTAACGTGGTATAAGACTCGTTACTGAAATTGAGGTACCAGTCGACGATTTTGGGCTTTGAAATTTGCCATTTTTTTTTTTTTTTAATAACATTTATTCAATCAACAATCAACAATCAAAAATACTTACAAACACTACGATACTTACACTACTTACAATACAATATTTAGAATACAATAGACTAAGGTACTTACTCTGTTTACAATGTAAAGACTTACAATACTCAGTACTTACAACACTACCTACTCACTACTCACACTACAATGCACTATTTACAAGCAGTTCTAATTAGTAATTGTACTTCAAAACCAACATTCACGGTAAACGCACTTATATCTTATCACGGTAAATGCACTTATATCTTAAGTGTCTTAAAGAGGCAGCGATTGTGAAGCAAAAGATACACCAGGTTAATGCTGGAGAAAATGAGCAGAGGATCGACATATACAAATGTATACAAAATCAAAGGCTTACTGAAATGAGGAGCTCACATTTTCCCATTTTTTTGGTAAAATGGGACCTGCAGTGGTCTCTATGTGGTAGAATGATTTGAGGTATTGCAGGAAGCCTGCTATCTTTGGCGAGGTTTCCCTTCTTTTGCTAATCCAGATGTAATTTCTGGATAGAAGGAAAAGGAAATTAATTTGCTGGCAGTTTTTTGAAGAATCCGGCTTTAGACCAAGTACAACAAATATATCTAATGTGAAATGTTCCGGTGTAATGTGGAGCAAAGTCAGCTTAAGAGATAAACTATGCCAGAAAAAGGCCACTTTAGGACAAGACCAAAAAAGATGAAGAAGTTTCTCCGGTTCATTATTACAAAAAGAACAATTTGGGTTGTCTTTAACGCCAATTTTTGTTAATAAGTCGTTCGTTGATATTCGTCTATGTAAAAATTTATATTGGAATTCAATAATTCTTGTACTTTTAGTATATTTAGCGGCCAACTGGTAGGCTTCCCGCCAATTAATCGCCTCCACATCATTTTCTTTGCAGTCTTTTAGCCATTTCTGTTGATTATGGGATGGTAACTTGCATTTTGTAGAAAGCAACTTGGTGTATACAAGTTTGCTCGCACTTTGGCATTCTGTTAATCTTACTACAAAGGTTTCATAATTGTTGCAGTTTTTGATACAGTTTGTTTTACATGTAGTCCAAAGAGATTTTAGAGCAGACACTAGTCCGAAATACTTTAAAAGACAAACTTTGAGGCTGCATTTTTGCTGCAGCTCAGCTAGTGATAAAAATTTGTTATGTTCATCTTTCAAATGTTTCACTTTCGTAACGCCTCGATCAAACCATTCACGATAGAAGACGGGACAGTTATCGATTCTAATGAGTGAGTTGTGCCATAAAGTTTGTTCAAGAAATTGTTTCCCGGACGTTATGTTTTCATCAAAATTGATTTCCGCCCAGATTGAAAGTATCTCTTTTATAAAGTTATTCTTAATCTTGAGATTCTCAATGGTATCTTTCTTGTTTAAGTTACTAGTGAGGACTATTGTGCCTCCAAATCGCTCTAACTCTATATCAAAAAAAATATTTCCATTTTCCCTGGTTCTCTTCATCCAGATATTTTTTAATCCATGTAGCTTTCAGGGACTTGTTAAAAGACTGTATGTCTATCATTTTAAGTCCTCCATTAGCATAATCGTTTGTTATAATGTCTCGTTTGATTTTATCTCCTTTTCCATTCCAGAGGAATGAAAAAAATAACTTGTTTACTTCTTTGATAATTTTCACATTTGTATGTAAAGGTGAGAGCACATAAACGAGCTGAGAGGCAACCAGACTTTTTAGGACCGTTATCTTTCCAACTAGGGTAAGTCTACGGTATTTCCAGCAGCTCAAAACATTCCGGACCTTATCTAGTTTTTCATTATAATTTAAAGTTGCAGTTGCTTCCGGATCATTTGAAAACCAGACACCTAAAGCTTTAACTTTACACTTCGGCCATTTAAAGTTTCTTCCGAGAATTGATATTTCATCTTTGTTACAATTTGCCCCAATCCAGTTTCATAAGCGTAGTTCAGTGCGCTAATTAGGGTGCTGGATACATCTTTCCAAAACACTTTGTAAAATTCGGCTGGTAGGCCATCGGTCCCAGGGGTCTTTTCTGATTCCATATCTCTTAAAGCCTCAAGGCACTCTTTTTCAGTTAAAACTCGTTCGCACGAAGTTAATTCATATTCGTCAATGGCTCTTTCATCACCACCCTCAAAGAAAACAGTTGTACCATCTTGGTTGTATGTGTTACCTTTGGATGAGTAGAGATTTTTATAGAACGCCACACATCCAGTTAATATTTTTTTATCCGAGGTGACAAATTCGCTATCGTTTATTTTAATTTGACTTATTGTCCCTTGCATTGTAGTGTCGTTTTTCTAAATTAAGAAAATACTTGGTGTTTTTCTCTCCTTCATTATACCATTTAGTCTTAGATCTCAAAATTGCACCTTTGGTGCGGATTTCAATTATCTTTTCAAGCTCAAGCCTGCTTTCATTCAATTGTTCCTCCAGGTGTAAGGAGTGCATTTCATCGGAGTTTTTATTATCGAGATCCGCTTCTAATCTGGCAATTGTTTGTTCCAGAAATGTCTCGCGTTGTTTAGCTTGCTTTGTTTTGCTCTTGGAGTAGCGGAGCAATTTTTCGCGCACTTTTAGCTTTATCATTTCCCAAAGAAGTGAAGGATTTACCGATTCGTCATTTTTGTACTCATCGAGTGTTTCCTGAATCGTTGTTTTAATTTGGTTTACGTAATCCAATTCAGTTAAAAAAGATGTGTTTAGTTTCCAGAAACCTGGTCCACGTAGATTTGAATGTAGTGATAAGCATAACGTAGTCATTGAGTGGTCGGTTTTATAACCTGGGACGATATCTGCGAGGGTCGTGATGTTAACTGTGCTTTGGCTTACTAAAAAAAATCGAGCCTACAGTGTACTTTTGGATGACGTTGTCTCCAGGTAAATCTACTAGTGTCTGGGTGTAGAATCCTCCAGACGTCTACCAGATCTAGTTTCTCAGAGAATTCTTGAACAACTTTAACACTATTTTGGGGAGTTTTAGTAAGACCACCCATCTTGTCCTTCTCTAAATCCAATACAAGATTGTAGTCGCCTCCTATAATAATATCATCACATTTGAAATCTGCAAGGTGATCAAAGAAGTCAAGGAAGAAAGTTGGGTTGTCTTCATTAGGAGCATATATGTTCCCTAAAGTAAAACACTTTTCATTGGTTTTAATGTCGCAAATAATGAAGCGTCCTTGGGGGTCAGTGTAAGTTTTTTCTATTTGAAAATCGAAGTTGTTGTTGAAAAGAATGCATACCCCTGCTTTATTGCTCTTATAAGTACTAAAAATAGCTTGATAGCCCCATTCAGCAGACCATACGTGATTAGTATTTTCAGTACAGTGGACTTCTTGTAGCATATATGCCGAGTAATTTTTTTTGCGAAGCCAATTAAACACCTCTCTACGCTTTGTATTGTCTCTTAATCCCCTGACGTTTAGTGATGCTATTGTCAAAGCCATAGATATTCTCTTGGGCAGCTTTGCAGAGGAGCCTTACATCACCTGGTGTGAAAGCTCCACAATCGCTGCACGGTATGATAGGAATTTGTACTAGGCGTTTACTTCTAAAACAAATGATTAAGCTATTAAAACATAGAAACCAAACAAAACATGCACAGATAAACACAACTAAATAAGAAACCTCTTCGTAAAGGGACATGGGGGGTAAGCTAGGACTTTTACCTAGAATCTTACAGACAGATAAGAAAAACCGAAGCGCCATCAGTTACGAACCTCTATTCCGATCGCCTAAATAATTATTTAGCAATTGATAATAACGGGTGGCAAATGTGGTCAAACGATACTAACGTGATCTTGGTTACCTAATGAGTAATGACATGATGAAGAAGCATTCTCACCTATCTTGGTATCTCGAGAGGTTTACCAACTGGCCAAATTTTACCTTTTATCAAGAGCTTATCCGGTTGTGCCCGACTAAAAGATGCAGGGATGTTATTTTTCCTAGCTTCTTTAAAAGTGTCCATTTGCTTTCTTCTTCTTGCTACTATTTCGTAGGGTAGATCGTGATACATTTTAAATCTGCTTCCTCGCAAACGGGAGCCCAAAGCTAGAATTTCTTCACAGTTCTTATAGCGGAGGAACCTTGCGATAATTTGCCTGGGCTTTTCTTCCTTCTTCTTTCCTAAGCGATGAACCCTCTGTATTTCAACGGTGCTTGCATCTTTGTATCCTAATTCCGTCTCGAGGAAGGTGCGAACAACTAATTCAGTGTCTTCTTTGTCTGTTTCTTGCACAATATTTTCAAAAATTATATTTTCCCGCCTCGAGTAGGCTTCCAAATAGAGATTCTTGTCTTGTACCTCTTTAAGCTTAGCTTCTAAATCATCATTTTTCTTCTGCAAATCGGTTAAAGCGAGATCTGTTTTCTCCTGGTAAAATTTTAGGCTCGCTGTCGAATTCTGCTGTTGCTTCTCAGCTTTATTTAAGCTTCCTTTCAAGTTCTCAATGTCGTGGCTGGCGGTTGTTTGCGAATATTCCAGCTTCTGTATTCTTCCTTCCAATTTTTGAAGGGACGTTTGGACATCATTTACTGTTGTTTGGATAGCGTCTAGCTTTTCCAGCTTTCGATTTATCTCCTCCAAAGCTTTATGAAAGCCTTCGGCCATGTTCAAAACCGTAAAGATTTCGTCTTCAACCTCGTGCTCCTCGACTTCTTCAGGAGAGTTTACTTCATCACTCCTCGCTTTTTTTGCTTCTGGTGAAGTGCTCGACTCCTCTGAAGAGGAACGCTCGCTTCTTTTCCGTTCCAAGATCTTTTTCAACAGTTCTTCCATTTACCACCCGGGAAAAAAAGAATATGTGGCGGACGGATCAAGGAAACGTCTTACGCCATTGCTACCCAGGCCCCTTTTTCCATTTTTTGAACGAAAACGATCAAAATATTGAAAATAATGAAAAATCTCCAAAATGTTACACTTTCGTTCAAACTGAGTAAATCACCACTTAGAATGTGTGCAATTAAGTACTCTTCTGAATAAGTTATTTGTTGTCCACATTACAATGGATTTGAATTTTAAAACGATTTTTTTGTGACACATGGTCTCGGACCTGGAAAACCCGGTCCGAGAGCCGCGAAACCAATAACCCCCCCGTACGTGGAAAATAATTATCGGATCGAAATAAAAATTACATTTGTGTTAATAGCTTACCCAGTGCTACTTTGTGAATTTTTTTGAGAATTTTCGATGTTTCAGTTTTGTAGACCTCTGGTCAATATTTACTGACATCCGCTCTTAATATGTGCCATGGAAATTCAGAAAATTCATGTGGTTGTTCTTATCTTCTCAGGATTTGCTTTATTTACGGAAAGTGAGTGTATCGCGGAGTTGAATCCCTCTGCAAGTTGTTGACCGCTAACAAGGTGCATTTTGATTTACCAACAAACGGGTGCAAATCAAAATACTGTCCATCTTGAAACTGGTTTCATTTGAAAGTTTAGCCGGGAATGACTTGTCTGAACGGGGTACGCAAGCGGAGGCTCACTGCGAAAGAAACCTCAATCGCCAACTGTGAAGTATTAGACGAAAAATATCGCATCGCTGTTCAAGGAATTTTCAGTGTTCACAGACTTGTTGTTTGACTACGCTTTTCGTTAAAGTAAACCAAGAAAACTGGTGTCCTCGCTCGTTGGCTGTTTGCTTTTGTTTTTTAAAGATTTATGCACTGAAAATCGGGGGAAATTGCCGAGAAAAATATCAAGACAACGGAAAAATAGAGATTTCAGTATTTTAAATTCCAGAGCGCCTAGCCAAAATAATAAAACTAGTAGAACATCGTGTCGCCGTCTTTTCGAAAACTTTTTACCTTCTACGCCAACAGAAGTAACCTTCGAGATCTCCCTTAATCTCGCAAGAAGTTAAATGTGATTGTTCTGACTGTTTTATTTTTAGCTGAAAAAATTAACAGATAAAAGCTATTTTTTAAGTCAGCCAGTCTGCATTTTTCCCACGCGTGAAAAATTTGCATACTAGAAAAACAAGCAACGGAAGTAATTCTGATTGGCTGATTCGGCAAATGTCAATCAATCAAAAAAGTGGGCGGCAGACATTTCGTTAAAGGTTTGTTTCAGGCTCTCTTTTTGTTTCGCCTTGCCCTCCGGAATGTAATTTTCAAAGCGAAACGAAAATAGAGCCTGATCTCAGGTTAGCCAAAATAGAGCTCTCCCCTCAAACAGTTTTTTTCTTTCAACAACTATCTCCAGAGAAGTCAACATAACAACTAAGAGTGCAGCCATTGTTGTTTTTTCTTCTCCTCGTTTCTTTCTCCTCGCTCTTTCTATTTTTCCTTTCCTTGTTCTTTTCTAGGAGGATTTTTGGCCCCATTTTCCTTCGACTTTTGGTCTCTTTCTCAGTGAAAAGACTGTAATTTTCGTTCGGTACGTTTTCAAAAATCCAGCAAGATAATGTTTTGGCTTTTACGGTTACCTATACATTAATTTTTGTTAACGTACCAACATCCTACAAGTTTCACTTTTTCGAAGCTTTTCATTTTCTTCTTGTTAAAAGTGAATTGGAGAGGAGGCGAGGACAGTTTTACTAGTTCTTTACGACGCACAACAATGCAGAGTTTTTGAACAGGTTAAGCTCCAGTTCCTATGAATTTGATGAGAGGGAATTGCCTTTTCATTAAAGGAAAAGCGTTGTTACCTTCGCAAAGGTTAACGGAACATTCCTCGCATAAGAACTTTGGTTCTAGATAGCAAACGTTTGTTTTAAGAAAACGAAATAGTATAATAGGGAAGCTGGTTTTTAAGGGAAAGATTAACTCTGGGTAGCCAAAACAATGCGTATAAAAATATCTTGTAAGAGTCTCTGGAGCATTGGAAATTTCCCACGCAGAGCATAATTCGCACAATTCAGTCAGAAGGTTAACTTGGAGTAAGTTGAAGTGTTACACAACGCTCATCCGAAGAGGAACATGGGTTCCGCAAAAAGAGGTGACACATCAGAAGCTAAGTCAGGTAAGCCCATTAATGTCGTACATATGTCCAGTACTTTCGCGCCTTCATTCACCACTGCAATTATTTTCAGATTGTTATAGAAAAACAGGTCTTCATTTGCCAATGGACGAAAAAAAAAATTGGTCGAGGTTCAGGGTTGCCAGTTCTCACAAAAGAAAATCAAGGAGGGAATACAAATGCCTTTAGACCACAGAGCAAGTAATCTTATTCATCTTACCAAGAAATGAAGAGCTACCGCAGAAAATACTAATTAAACACACAGATACACTAAACTAAATCTGAGCCTCGTGACAAGAGGAAGATAAAAAAAAGAACAATCACCCTGCGTTGCATTTTTGGTTTTCTGGATTTCCTTTAGAACATATTTGGCCCGGTGTAACGAAAAGCGCAGGGCGTTATGATCTAGCAAAAACCAAATAACAGAGTCCTTAGCAGAATATTTACTCACTTACATTGTAAAGTATGGAGTCATAATCCTAAAGGAGGTTGCGCATGTTGTGACAAAAAAAAAAGAATCCCTGATTTTGATCACACATATTGTGTCCAAGGTTTGAACATAACTACCTCACAACACTCTATTACAGAAAATGGGAATAGTAAACAGTTTGTACTGATACAAAGCTATCGTCCGTTGCACACATTTAGTTGTACGTTTCCTGCAGCATGGATGCAAATTTAGTAGCTAACTGAAGGTGAACAGAATATCAAATCAAACTGTTCACCATCAGTCAGCGACTAAATTTGATTCCATGCTGCAGGATATATAAAAATTACAAGCCTGTAAAACTAACAATACTTTCTGCATTTCTGATATTGCCCCCCAAAAAAAATAGAATTACTAATTTTTAATCGTGTTAATACAGACTGACTAATAATTTCCCTTTTAAATACCGTCATAGAAAAAAAAATTACAGCTTGGAAAACAGAAGGTGAGGCTAGGTAACCTGTGCAAAGCCGTCAAGACGAAACACTGACCTAGGTGTTTCTCACACATTTAGTCGGCGTTTTTAAACCAAAACTACCCAAAATACATTAGCGGTGTTGTATCGAAAATTCTTGAGGAATAAAACAATTATCAAATGTTTTATCTGAATTTGTGATCTTCCTGAAATTGGGTCTCCTGTGGTGAAAGTTGAAAAGCTTTATTGCCAATTTTTCTCACCGATTTTGGTGGATTTTTAGTATGTTGTTACAAAGCCATCCAACAATTAAATGGCGTTGAAAAAAATTCTGTTGCAATTAGTTTCATGCTAAACCACAATTTGACTGGACTAGTCCGTAGGCTCTTGCCGATTGTGCTAGCATAATTTTTGGCATAATCTGAGGAATTGAGCATAATTTTTGCCCTTTTTCCAAAAGTAGCACTGCTAGCATAATCCGTATATTTTCTTGTCTTAATAGCACAATTTTTAGAATAATTCAAGAAAACGAAGATCTCAGCTACTAAAAACGATAGATTACTATTAACAGTTGCTTCCACTCCTATTTTTCGATTTTTTTTTACTTGTGTTGAGATACCGCGGGAGTTCGATGAAACGGAACCGGAAGTCTGTGTCTCGGTCCCAGACTCCTTAGTCTTTCTCCCAGTGCTCGTTTCAAAATGGCGGCCGCCACGCCAAACCAGTCAAGTGCAGTGAACTTACATCCAGATAGTTTACAAGGTTGCGAGAACAGAGAGGATAGACCAAAGCCTGCACAACTTGCCCGGGATAGACGCCTCGAATCCACCACACTATCCAGGCTTTGTGCAACCTACTTTTGTTCGCTGGATAACTATCCGCTGGGTAGCAGATTTCTTCGCCGTATAGGCCCAACCACCGGATAAAGTTACCCAGGTTTTGAACAACCGGGCCCAGAACGTCTGGCCAGGGTTAATAAAATACATTTTCAAACTTGTCTTGTGAGTTGTGAAGTTTGTGCACAGAATAATTTTTTAAAAAAGTAGCATAATTTTGAAAAGCGAGCATAATTTGAGCATAATTTGGGCAAAAAACGAGCACTGCCACTAGCATAATATGCCACTTTTACTAGCACAATCGGCAAATGCCTACTAGTCCGGCCTGGGTTTAAACCCGCGACCTCCTGCTCGCAAGACCGGCGCTCTCCCAACTGAGCTAACCAGGCGGCGGTGACACGTGACATGTCACGTGACCCCAATCAAAGTTTCAGGCACAAGAGGACCTCAAGATTTACTTTTGGAGAAAATTTCATTTTTTTATAGTTCTAGGTCTCCTAGCGAGAGATATTGCCAATCAATCATATACCCCGAAGACATTTTTGACCTAGGCCTAAACCCCCTGAGAACCCCTATTCCATCTCCTCGCTGTTTTTTTTTTCTGTCCACATCTCTTTGAGCTGTCCCCACGATCTGAACGACTGGAACAGGCCACACCAGAAATTTCTTTAGCCTAACATCCTGTTGGGGGTATTATAGATGTTATTTATGTGTTCCCTCCATCTAAGTCAGTCTATAACCTCTTCGTTCCTTACTTTCTTTCAAATATGGGTCCAAAAAGCTTTAGGACTGGTTTTGTGGGCATCTACGAGGAACTCAGATGTATACTGGTCCTGAGATTTTAACGCTTAGAGCAGAGCCTTTCTAGGGACATTTAAAGGGACAGTGTCCCGATTATGCGCACGCGCGAG